ACATGGTATGTTCTTCCATCTGTTTATGTCTTCCTTTATCTCTTTTTTCAGTGTTCTATAGTTTTTCGCATGTAAGTCTTTTACCTCCTTAGTTAAGTTTATTCCTAGGTATCTTAATATTTTTGATGCGATGGTAAATGGGATTGCTTTCATAGTCTCACTTTCTGTAAGTTCACTATTGGTGTAAAGAAATGCCATAGATTTATTGGTATTAATTTTGTATCCTGCTACATTGCCAAATTCAGTATTTAATTTATTTAATACATTGCCAAATTCATGTATTAAGCCTAATAGTTTTTTGATGGAGTCTTTAGGGTTTTTTATGTACAATATCATGTCATCTGTGAATAAGGACAGTTTTATTTCTATATATATATTCTTGACCTATTTTGTATCCTGCTACATTGCCAAATTCAGTATTTAATTTATTTAATACATTGCCAAATTCATGTATTAAGCCTAATAGTTTTTTGATGGAGTCTTTAGGGTTTTTTATGTACAATATCATGTCATCTGTGAATAAGGACAGTTTTATTTCTATATATATATTCTTGACCTTGCTTTTTAAAAAATCCTCACCCAAGGATATGTTTATTGATGAGAGAGAGAGAGAAAGAGAGAGAGAGAGAGAGAGAGAGAGAGAGAGAGAGAGAGAGAGAAACATCAATCAGTTGCCTTCCATACATGGCCTGACTTGTATCAAACCCGCAAGCTAGGCAGATGCCCTGACCAGGAATAGAATCCACCACCTTTCGTGTATGGGATGATGCTCCAACCAACTGAGTCACACTGGCCAAGGCTTGCCCTTGCTTTTTAAGTTTAGAATTTCTCAGAGATCATTCCTTTTCAACTTATAAGGAGCTACCTCATGCCATTATTTATCTGGTCATTTTCTTACTGACAGACACTGATAAACAATGCTGTGACAAAAATCCCTGTACATACACTATTTTGTATTTCTAAGGGAATAATTCTTAAGAATTAAATTGCTAGATGATAATATCCATTTATAATTCTGACAGAATTTACCCAAACTACCTGAAGCTCCACTAGTCTATAGTCCCTGAATAAGCATTACAGTATTTTTAGAATGACATTATAAAAGAAATATATTTTTTAAAAGCATATGGAGTGTAAAGGTGAGGTGGGAAAGGAGGGAAGGGAGAAGAAAAGAGAGCTAGCTTACCTTCCAAAGTCACAGAGTTTTAATACGGCTGTATCAGGGTCCAATAAGAGGTTCTGTGGTTTAATATCCCGATGGCAGATTCCAAAGGAATGAATATAGGCTAAACTTCGAAACAGCTGATACATATACAACTGGAAAAAATAGCAAAAATTAACTGAATAGTTTCTCTCCCAAACAATCAGAATCCTTAAGCGAGTAAATAAAGTAACAGATAAGGTAAAATGCTGGGGATTATTAGTACTCAATCTTCCTTTAACAAGTTTCATGTCATTTCTATGTTCATTAGCTAATTAAAGTTTCATTAACCATATATTTACACCATCCTCTACTAACTTAAAAAAGAAAATTTTACAATGTGCCTTATAATTTTTTATTTTACTAAGATTTCAAAACAAATCCAAGATGTGTTTTTTTCAAATGGATAAAAAGCTCAGAGGGATATTTCAAATCATGTGACTAATAAGAAAGTTTAGACCAAAAGCCAAGTCTTCAGTTTTTAAGTTCATCATTCTTTAAAAGTATCTGCAGTTTCATCTTCAGAATAATAATTTTCTGAGATGTCAGTCCCAGAGGTTATCGATGCAGAGGACTGGAAAAATTCACATGTGAACTGAGAAAATCTATAATCAATCATCTATCAAGATATCAGTGACCCCATTAATAGCATCACTATGCGTCCTATTAATATCCTTAAAAAATAAGTAGACTTTAAAATGCTATTTAAAAACAGATCCTAGCTGAGTACTGACATAATTTAAAAGAATATTTGTTCAAATTTTACTTGGGGGAAAAAAGCACCAAGAAACTGGATCTGCATGGACGAAAGAATCAGACTCTTGACCGAGGAACAGAGGGACTTTATAAAGAAAGTGAGTGACTCTTGAACAACATGGGTTTGAACTGCATGGGTCCACTTATATATGGATTTTGTTCAACAAATATATTAAATAATTTTGGGGGGAGATTTCCTTACTACTGTGAAGCAATCACATCTATAACACGAGGTTACCATAAAGTTATCATATTGTTGCTTCTTTATTTTCAATGCATGTATTGTTATAACTGTAAATCAATTGAACTTCTTTTTCATATTATCTTTTCAATATTTATGCTTAGTGTTAGTAATACATATAATAGCTATAATGTTTTGGATCATACAAGAAAATAATGATACAGGTACTGAAAGACAATTTATCAGATGATAAATCTTAAATAAACAGATGATGCAAACTTAAGAGTATCAATAAATGCAGTGTAGTACTGTAAATGTATTTGCATTTGATTTCCTTACTAACATTTTTTTTCTAGATTACCTTATTGTAAGAATATAGTATATTATACATATAACATTCAAAATATGTATTAATCAACTACATTATCAGTAAGGCTTCTAGTCAATAGTAGTCTATTAGTTAAGTTTTGGGATAGTCAAAAGATAGAGGTGGATTTTTGACTGGAAGTGGAAGTAGGGGAGAGTGTCAGCACCCTTAACCCTTGCATTAAAGCGTCAAGTATTTCTTAAACCTCCTGTTTATCCTAAGGTCCATGTTCTGGTTCACTTTATATTTTTCTGGCTACACCTTAGAAAGACTTTTTGAAATGATTCAACACAAAGATAACAGTGACTTGATAAAAAACAACAAAAACGATAATTAAAGTTCAGATAGAGCATTGTCACAAGGCACCATATTTAGAGGCTATTGTTAAGACATTAATTCAAGTTAACATGACACCTGCTTTCTTTCCAACAGGCCATGATGAAAACTGCAGACAGGTAATTTCAGTGCATCCTTAACATTATACTGGACTACAGCTGGAAAAGTTTAATGCTTCTTTAAAATGAAGCATAATGTAAAAATGTATAGATAAGATCTTCAATTAGGTCAACGTTTTGTCACCAGAGTTAGAATTAAGGAATTTGGATATTTATATAACTTAAAAAAAAATCGTCACACAAGGACATGTTTCCCACTGATTTTTAGCGAAAGAAGAAGCGAGAGGGAGGGAAGGAGAGAGGGAGAAACTGGCAGACATCGATGTGAGAGAGAAACATCGATAAGCTGCATCCCTTATGCACCCCAACTGGGGATTGGACCCGCAACCTGGTATGTGCCCTGACAAGGAATTGAACTTGCAACCTTTCAGTGCTCAGGACATTGCTCCAGCCAACTGAGTAATACCAGCCAGGTCGTTCATGTAACTTTTTAAAAGCTTCATAATTCTAATATTGTATCATTGTTCACAGCATCGACCTCGAAGTCCTAAAGCTTACTCTCAGAATTTTAAGAGTTTAATTCACTGCCACTACAAAAAAAAGTCCCCATGAGATATTGAGTTCATAGACATTAATTTACTAAAGACAATGATGTCTAGGTCAGCAAGAATCAACAGGAAAAAAAATGTTTTCTTTGTTAAATTTGCGTAAGAGTTTAAATAAGGTTAAAGTATCTTTTTACTATATTCATTCATCTCCCATTCTCTTCACTTTATCTTTTGAAAAGTCAATATAAAGAATGACTTTTTATTTGACTCTGTAAAAGTGTATTTATAGGATAACTGAGAGGCTTACTACACTAGAAAGCAATAACAAGATAAACAACTGGTCATTATTCTAAGAACTTTACATGCATTATTTCATTTAACCCTTATGTAATAGGTACAACTATTATTTCTATTTTATATATAAATTAACTTAGACACATAGGTTAAGCGATTTGCCCAATATCATATACTTAATATTCTGCAGTGTCTTGGGTAAATATGCCTCTTTTTATTACTATTTCTTCATTTGCCTTATTGTTCTATTAACTAAAAGTACAAAAACATAATTATTAAATAGCTTGATCACTACGTTAAAAAGACTAGAATAATAAACTCTTAGAAACTCAGATTATCTAGTACATTTTGAAATTTGAGATTTAACAACAACTGTAAAATCAAGTGTGTTTCACCATTTGTTTATTTAATTATGTAATCACTCTGTGATATACACATTTGTCCTAAATTTTACAAGAGATCATTGAGGCCCATTAGCAGGTTGAACACAATCTGAACCCAGTTGCAAAATTATTAAATCTAACTTCAAGTCCAATGTCTTCTTGCCTCTGTGCTACTAAACCTGTTTAAAACTCATAGGATAACAATTTTATTCATGATTCATAAAAATGCATCCAGCTCTTGTGTACCCAGGCCCTATCCTTAAACATGTATTTATTAACTTAAAAAATTTCAAGATCAATGATTTGCCAGGCATCTGTTTTAGAATTGTGTTTAAACACTCAATTATGAAAGCTATTAATCAGAAAAGCAAAGGTGCTATCTAACTATCATCAACTATAAAGTGACCAGTACTATAAAAGGGGTGAAGAAAGAGGTCTGAAGCAATAAACTCATAAAACATACTCAACTCCCTCAGAAAACATGAAAGTTAAAGAGTCACAAAAAACTACAACTGCCATTTTGGTAACACGTTTGCCAAGTAAGTTCTTATTAAATGGTGAGGTCTGTGAAGGCAAAAGTTACTTAAGGAAAAAACAGTATGTCCATTAACAAGTGACCAGCTGAATAAATTAGGATACAGCCATGCAACAGACTAATATAAACAGCTGTAAAAAAGAAAGGCAAAATAGCTCTATCTATCTATCTCCAGAATACATTTTTATTTATTTTTTTACATTTTTAATTTTAAAAGGTAGAAGAATGTATACATTATATAACCATTTACATAAAAAGGCGATGGAGTGATAAAACAATTATGTACATTTATTTACTTAAAAATTTTGAATATTCAATTCTGGGAGGGGTGAGGAATAGAGTAGAGGAAATGGATAACAACAGCAAAACTTCTTAAACTGCATATATCTTGTTTTATAGATTTTTACTTTGGCACTAGGTATTTTCTATTTTGATGGAAAATTAACTTCAAAAAAGCTTAAAACACAATCTATAATAAAAGTAAAATTAAACAAAGCTTAGCAGGGCATAATCACAGACAGAAACTATTCACTGTTTATTTAAAATAGAGAAATTTGACTGTTCATCTAATGCAGTGGTTCTCAACCTTCTGGCCCTTTAAATACAGTTCCTCATGTTATGACCCAACCATAAAATTATTTTCGTTGCTACTTCATAACTGTAATGTTGCTACTGTTATGAATTGTAATGTAAATATCTGATATGCAGGATGGTCTTAGGTGACCCCTGTGCAAGGGTGGCTTGACTGCCAAAGGGGTCGCAACCCACAGGTTGAGAACCGCTGATCTAATGGAATGTACCATGGGAATAAAAAAGAGCTGCAAAAAGATCTTAAATTATTTCAGCTGGTATTGGTAGTGCTGGTATTGCTATCCTAAGACTACTGTATGTATAGTATGGGACAGAACAAGTAAGTAATTATACTGTCATTAAAAAATGGAATTTTTAGTGTAAAGAAAAGGAAATAGAGATGGATGATTGTTATGTCCCTCAAAATTTAATTAGAAAAATAGCCCGGCTGGTGTGACTCAGTTATTGAGCATCAACCTATGGACCAGGAGGTCAGGGTTCAATTCCTGGTCAGGACACCATGCCCAGGTGTGGCTCCATCCCCGGTAGGGGGCGTGGAGGAGGCAGCTGATCAAATGATCCTTTCTCTTCATTGATGTTTTATCTCCCTTTCCTTTCCTCTCTGAAATCAATAAAAATATATTTAAAAAAGAAAGAAAGAATATCAATATGAACTCAGAGTGTATTTATCATTGGGGTGAATAAAAAGATGCAATTTATCTTTGAAAACAATCATCCACATATTTCCTAGCTCTGTCCACTAAAAAGTCTTAAAAACAATAACCAACTCTACGGTAAGTAGCACCCCCAATGATCTCTGAATACTATTTCCCACTAAAAGAGTAAGTTCCCTTGAAGAAAAGGCTCATTCCAACTCTGCAGAAGAAATGTATAAGATGAACCTAGAGTACTGTCATGATAGAAAGCAATGAAGCTATCAAAGATTACTAAGACTTGTCTAAGAAGCTTTAAAACAAACACAACAACAACAAATTACTCCTTGGTCACCTTTGGAGGGTGCTATGGAACCAATAAATTATTATAAATTTTGATAAAGGTAAATAATCAAATACATATCCTGTCTTATATAAACTGTACCTCAGGGTAATGAAAGCTGACATGGAAAGTTTCTATTTATGGAACTATTCTAAGCTTATAAATTAAGAAGGAATAACATTAAAATATCATTATATGACCACTAATGAATTAATGGATTTAGGCAATTACCATCAATGGCAACAAGCATCACAAAAAGAAAGATATTATGTTCTTCCTTAGGAAAGCACCCAAGCCTATATATGAAATACTCTTGATTCCTAGAAAAAAAATTATCTAATATCAAATTTACAGGAAATACAGAGAAAAGTAATATACTACATTGTACTGCAATAATCCAAGCACAAAATCAAGACCAAAAAACTAGGTCAAATGATCCAGTTTCTTTAATAACAAAGTTGAGAGAGAGTGAGAAAGAAAATGGGGGGTGGGGGGGTGAGAGAGAGAGAGAGAGAGAGAATGACAGGGAGAGAGAGAATGAGGGGGAAGGGAAAAGGGGAGAGGGGAGAGGGAGAGATTAAAAGAAACATTAAGAAGCACATACGCCAAGGTTGCAATTAATAAGTAGAACAACAAATTGATCTCTCTCTCTCAAATCAATTTAAGAAAAAAAGAAGCAGCAGCACATCTGCCAGTTGAAATATAGGGACCTTACTTGGATCCCAATTCTAACAAATAAATTTTTAAAATATATATAAGACATATTGGAAATATAAATAACTGGCTATTTAATCAGAATTATGCTGGATAAATTCCTAGCCACTCTGTCGTGAGTTCTATAAAATAAAAACGGTAACATTGGTATTAGGTACCAAAAATAAAATAACACCTTGAAAGAGTCTATGCATATTTAAAATTATCAAAAGTTGATACTTCAGCTACAGACACAATGTATATGTAAGTGGCAATAGAACATTGAATCTGATCGTACTTATAACTATATTTTATAATTTTATGGTATGATTGCTCTTATTTCAGTCTGTGGTACAATAAGTATATCAGAAATTAAATAAAAAGGTGCTATGCCTAGCAAAATTAAGTCCATAATTGTCTGTGAAAAATTCACTTGTCAGAAAGATGACAAGTATCTTTAAGAACTGAGTCATTAAAGTTTAAAAAGTAAAGGCTTCAAACTTTAAAACTACAAGAATTTAATGAAGCTCTAGCAATAGCTACTTTGCAGCTTTCCCCCCTTAGTATTAGATGCGATAATGTAGTTAAAACACATAGCCCTCTCCCTGGCTCATGATAAGTACTTTTTAAAATGGAAAATTGCTCCATTTTTACATACCTTGACATAGATCACAGGAAGCGTCTGTTTAGCTCGACTATAGTGTCTGGCAACTCTGTATACTGTTTCCGGAACATAGTCCAGCACCAGATTGAGATAGACCTCATCTTTCTGAAAAAGTTTATTAAAAACAAAGAAAATAACAAGATTAGAAACTAGTTTTTAAATATTCAAATTAGAGTAAATGCTCTACATATTCACTTACTGAGATTAAAAAATTAGAATCTGTTCAATTTTAATTATACAAAATTAAATCAGAATATAACCATAATAAAAACAATCTACCACACTTTCTCAATACCGTTAAGATTTTTAATCACATTCAAGCTATTATTTAAGTTATATGATTTTAAAGGATACCACCTACCACAAAATTTCACATTTTCTAATTTGAGAATCAATGCCCTCATATCCTATCAGGAAAGGTGTCATAGCAATAAAGTGAGTATTGAATTGGGAACTACAATAGTGTATTTCTAGCCCTAGCTCTGCTGCTAACTTAAATAACTTAAGTTACTTAAATCTTAAGGCTTCAGTTTTTTCAACTATAATACAAAAAGCTGGACTAGATGTTCTCCAAAATTTTTCTAACCTCTACAAAAAGATTATATGATTACCTGATAGTCTATATTTAGTAGAAAAATCATTTGTCTTCTACAATTAACTGAAAGAAAAAGAATAACTTAAAAAGCAGCAAGTTACCATACTCACAAGTTTACTGCAGGTCACAAGTTTAAACATCCATTCTCAGTAGCATAAAGACACCAATCCAAGATCATTGGAGAGAAAGAAGGGAATTTCAACTAAGTACCAAGTAGGAAAGAGGAACAGAGTGCTACTCTTACACTGAACATGTGAACAATATCAGATAAGTACACTGAAGCAGAAAACAAAGCTGAGAATCGCTGTGTTCAAGTCTAGAATTTGCCACTGAGTGGGAAAATCTTCAGGTAAACAAACTTTCAGTCTTCCCAATTTGAAATCATCTTACCTACCAAACTGAAGTGAAGAATTTCAATTTTCAGCATTAATTACTTTCTATATGTCAGTAGCTACAGCAGAGGAAGTAAGGGAGCAGGTATAAAAGAGATGACATCTAAACTGAATATGAAAGGGCCATTTCAGGCAGAGAGAAAACCATTTTCAAGATGTGGGGTCAAAGAGTGCAACATAGCTCAGGAAACAGTTTAGTGAGATAAGCAAACCACTGACCTTACCACCTTTTCACAATCCTTTACTTTTTCATGTTCTCCTCTCTTCCTTTTCACATCCAGATTAAATTCCTTAATCTGTCACAGGAATCAGTAAACAATAGCTGCCTGTTTTTATAAATAAAGTTTTATAGGAACACAGTGATGCTGATTTACTTAAGTCTGGCTACTTTTGAACTACAATGGCAGACTTGAGTAGTCATGACAGAGACCACATAGCCTGTAAAACCATAAATATTTACTATATGACCCTTTATGAAAAAGTTTGCCCAGTCTGCTGTAGTATATACCCTCCTCTTATGCCATGCTTGTTTGATAAACCACAACTTTGGTTAAATGCAGCTTTCCACACATTCTCTAACTATACCCAAAAGATGAACATGGCTACAAACCTAAAATTGTGCTAATTGGTCTCACATTAAAATCACCTTTAAGTAATTCAATCAGCCCAGTAGTAATAAAACATTTGCCTAATCTATTTACTTGTTTCTTTTTTAAAAAAATTAAATTATTTATTGTTTAAAGTATTCCCCCATTGACCTCTCCCTGGTTGTCTGTGTCCATTGGTTATGCTCATATGCATGCATACAAGTCCTCTGGTTGATCTCTTACCCTCCCACCCCCCCACCCACCGCCTTCCCTCATGGGTTGGACAGTCTATTCAAAGCTTCTATGTCTCTGGGTCTATTTTTGTTCATCAGTTTATGATGTTCATTATATTCCAAAAATTAGTGAGATCATGTGATATGAATCTTGCTCTGACTGGTTATTTCGCTTAGCATAATGCTCTCCAGTTCCACCCATGCCGTTGGAAATGGTAAGAATTCCTTCTTTTTTACAGCAGTGTAGTATTCCATTGTGTAGATGTACCAGTTTTTTAATCCACTCATCTGCTGATGGGCACTTAGGCTGTTTCCAAATCTTAGCTATTGTAAATTGTGCTGCTGTGAACATAGGGATGCATATATCCTTTCTGATTGGTGTTTCTGTTTTCTTGGAATATATTCCAAGAATTGGGATTACGGGGTCCAATGAAAATTCCATTTTTAACGTTCTGAGAAAATGCCATACTGTTTTCCACAGTGGCTGCACCAATCTGCATTCTCACCAGCAGTGCAAGAGAGTTCCTTTTTCTCTGCATTCTCACCAGCAATTGTCATTTGTTGATTTGTTGATTATAGTCATTCTGATAGGTGTGAGATAGTACCACATTGTTGTTTTGATTTGCACCTCACACATGACTAATGACTTTGAGCATGTTTTCATATGTCTCTTGGCCTTCTGTATGTCCTCTTTTGAAAAGAGTCTATTGCGCTCCTTTGCCCATTTTTTGATTGGGTTGTTTATCTTCTTTTGTTACGTTGTATGAGTTTCCTAGAAATTTTGGAGATTAAACCCTTATCAGTGATAACATTGGCAAATATGTTCTTCCATGCAGTGGGCTTTCTTGTTTCGTTAATTTCTTTTGCTGTGCAGAAGCTTTTTATTTTAATGTAGTCCCATTTGTTTATTTTCTCCTGCGTTTCCATTGTCCTATGAGCTGTATCAGTAAAGATATTACTTTGGCCATATGTCTGAGATTTTGCTGCCAGTGGATTCCTCTAATACTTTTATGGCTTCCCGTCTTACATTTAAGTCCTTTATACATTTTGATACCTGTCTCAACTCATTCTCTCTAAAAAACATACTCCTCTGAATTTCACCACCATTACTACACCAGAATTGTTCAAGATCAATAACCTCTTTGTTGCTGAATCCCATGTCTATATTAGTCATCTAGAATATCACAGGAAGAGGGGAACAAGAACACAGAGAAGCAATACAGTATGAATTAAGAGGCAAGGTTAGTATGAGCCACACAAAGTCCCAACTCTGCTACTACAAGTTATAGGACCATGAGCAAGTTACTTAACTTCTTTAGACCTCAGTTTGCTACAAAATAATGCTAATGATGGTGTCTACTTTAAAAGACTGTCTTAAGATTATAAGAAATAATCTATATATAAAGTTCTTTAGGCACATTACCTGTCACATAAAAAAGACTCGATTTTAACTATTATAATCTTTAGAATCCTGTACATCTAAAATAAGTGATTAGGTGCTGAGGAGAACTGTAAGTAAGATGAGTGAATGTCTGATGACCCTATTTTTTGTAAAGCGATGAGGTCATATGTAAAACTGAGGTAGCAAGAGTAATGCTGAATACTTCTCTTAAAATTTCAGAGATCAAGATTTATTTAGACAACCAGTTCCGAGTGAAGGTGAAGTCCAATAAAGAAAATAAATAAAAAGAATGCTAAAGTGGTGTCAAAGAAGATTGTTGTGTCAAATAGATTTCAAGAAATGGTGAATCTTGGGTTTTGGAAAGGTCATTAACACAGACGTCAAAGCTATCCTTTTTTAACTACTTGATTACAAGGTTTCTTGATTTTAACAAATCATTTGACTAAGTTAATCATGATATATTTATGAATGACCCGGAGATGTGTAAGAATGTATTACAATTTAATTCATTTGCTAAACAATCATAACAAAAATGAAGAAGAAAAATATTTAAAATGAATGCCAAGGACAAAAAAGGTAGGGCCACAAACTCTGCCCTTCACTTATCGCAATCAATATTTTCATAAATGATTTCATTTATTAGGAGTTGCAAAAGTAAATGCCTTCAATGACTAAGCAATAAATGTAAATGTGTGAAACAAAAATGTGTAATGAAGTAAGTTACAGTGATTGGTAATTCAGATAGTACAAGACTTAACTAAAAAACATTCAAATTCAAAAAAATATTAACAGAATATGCTAACCAAATAAAACACATCAAAGAGGGAATTTGGCAGTCAGTTTAGAATTTTTGACTTCAACACAACTATCTAAGACTGACACAAAACTAGGAAAATGCCTTAGAATGGAAGACCAAGTAAGAAATTTATTTATTTATTTTTTATTTCCTTTTTTTTTTTACAGAGAGGAAGGGAGAGAGATAGAGAGTTAGAAACATCAATGAGAGAGAAACATCGATCAGCTGCCTCCTGCACATCTCCCACTGGGGATGTGCCTGCAACCCAGGTACATGCCCTTGACCAGAATTGAACCTGGGACCTTTCAGTCCACAGGCCGACGCTCTATCCACTGAGCCAAACCAGTTTCGGCCCAAGTAAGAAATTTAAAGAATTCTAATACAGTGGGGCCTTGACTTATGAGTTTAATTTGTTCCGAGACTGAGCTCGTTAAGGAGCTCGTTAACTCAAATTACTCTATCAACTCAATGCAAAAAATCGGCCGAGAGACAGCTGGTATCTCAAAAAACTTGTTAGTTGGGACACTCGTAAGTCAAGGCCCCACTGTAGTCTGGAATGCTAAACCAAATCCACAAGATAACATTTAACAAAGATAAATATAAAGTCCTATGAGTGAAATAAAAATATCAATTTATTATGTAGAATGGCAGGTAAGACTTGACAGTAATTCATTTGAAAAATAAATGATAGGTAAAATTGAACTCAAAAGAATCAACACTGAGGTGCAGTTAATGAAAAACTTGGGTTACAGTAGAAGTACTGTACTCATATCAATAAAGATAATTTCACTCTATTTCATACAGTTCATGTTTCATTTGACACTCATTTTTTGGGCAGTATATTTTATTCATAATATTAATAAATCAGAACACATTAAAAAAGGTTAATAAAACTATATCTGCTATAGGTTGAATGTTCTAATTTACTACACTATGAGAAACATGAGGGCTCAAATTATATTTGAACTATTATTTTGCAAATTAACATAAGCCTATCTTTTTGCTCAAATAAATTCTGGTTATTCACACCATTTACTCATCAAAAATTTGCAATTTTCTCTAGAATCCTAGAAGAGGTTTGCCCATTTTCTAGGTATGAT